ACAAAAAGTGTGGAAGGAGTTGATAAAAAAAAGAAGAAAAAACCCCACAAATTTGCAGTTTACACACATCTGCACTTGAGGGAAAAATGCCCAGGGTTTGGGGATTCCTGAGGGAAAAACACCCAGGGATTTGGGATTCCTGAGGGAAAAATGCCCTGGGATTGGGGATTCCTAAGGGAAAAACGCCGCGGCATTGGGGATTCCTGAGGGAAAAATGTCCAGGATGGACATTCCTGAGAGAAAAAGGCCCCGAGATTGAGGATTCTTGAGGGAAAAAGAAGAATTCCAGAAAAACACCCAGAGTTTGGGGATTCCTGAGGGAAAAATGTCCCAGGATGGACATTGCTGAGAGAAAAAGGCCCCGGGATTGGGGATTCCTGAAGGAAATCCTGACGGCAAAAATGCCACTGGAGGGCAATTCCTGAGGGAATAATGGGGATTCCAGAGGAAAAAAATGGGGATTCCTGAGAAAATAATGCCCTGGGATGAGGATTCCCAAGGAATCAGTGTCCCCAGAGCTGGGCCTGGAGCTGGGTGAGGCCTTTTGGAGGGCGCAGGAAGGAATAATACCCCGGGATGGCGATTCTTGAGTGAATAAAGGGGATTCCTAAGGGAAAAATGCCCCGGATGGCAATTCCTGAGGTAAATATGGGGATTTCTGTGGGAAAAACGCCCCAGGACGAGGATTCCCGAGGGATCAGTGCCCACAGAGCCGAGTCTGGAGCTGGGTGAGGCCTTTTGGAGGGCACAGGAGGCAATAATACCCTGGGATGGCGATTCTTGAGTGAATAAAGGGGATTCCTGAGGGAAAAATGCCCCAGGATTGGGGATTCCTAAGGGAATAACGCCCCAGGATGTGGATTCCTAAGGGAAAGATGCCCCGGATGGTGATTCCTGAGGTAAATATGGGGATTCCTGTGGGAAAAATGCCCCAGGACGAGGATTCCCGAGGGATTAGTGCCCACAGAACCAGCGCAGGAGGGAATAACACCATGGGATGATGATTCCTGAGGGAATAACGCCCCGGGACTGGAGTTTCCTGAGGGAATAACGGGGATTCCTGAGGGAATAACGCCCCGGGATTGGGGATTCCTGAGGGGAAAATGCACCAGGATGGGGATTCCTGAGGGAAAAATTCTCTGGATGGAGATTCCTGAGGGAAAAACAGGAATTCCTGAGGCAAAAATGCCCTGGGATGGCAATCGCTGAGGGAATATGCCCTGGGACTGGAGAGTCCTGAGGGAATATTGGGGATCCTGAGGGAAAAATGGGGATTCCTGAGGGAATAACGCCCCGGGATGGGGATTCCTGAGGGAATAATGCCCTTGGATGGGGATTCCTGAGGGAATAACACCCTGGAGATGGGGATTCCCAGGGGATCAATGCCCCCAGAGCTGGGTCTGGAGCTGGGTGAGGACTTTTGGAGGGCCCAGGAGGGAATAATGCTCCAGGATGGGCATTCCTGAGGGAATAATGCTCTGGGATGGTGATTCGTGAGGGAATAATGACCCAGAATAGACTCCTGAGGGATCTGCACCCCCACAGCCAAGCCTGGGGCCAGTTCTCCTGCTTCCCTGGATGTTCCTGCTCCTCCACATCCCTCAGGGAGCAGGAATCCCACTCCTTCAGCTGTTCCTGCTCACTGTTCGCTTTGCCCTGCTCTGACAACAGCACACCCCACACTCCTGCCCTTTTTTTCCCCTTTATTCCCCCTGTTTTTGTCCTGTGAGCCATAAATGAGCTCATGAGTGCAGGRTGAACTCCCTGCCCCGCTGCCAGAAGGGTCAGGAGAGCAAAGRTTGGGGTTTTTGTTTGCTCAGGGTGTGGCTGCCATGCAAAAACCCCTCCTTGACCAGCAGGGGACCAGGTTTGTGGCTTCAGGGAACGCAGGGAAGAGGAATGGACCCATTCCAATGGGATCCCGAGGGGATGGGAATGGGGTGTCCCACAAGGTGGGCAATGAACGGATAGACCTGAGAAGGTTCCTGGGGTGTTCCTGCAGCCTGGGCTGACCAGGCTGCGCCATCCCACAGGATGGACAGGAACAGCCTTTGAAAGGGCTTGAAAATTCACAAAGAACCCCTTGGAAAGGGCCTGAGAATGCACAGCTTTCAGGAAAGGCCTGAAAATGCACAAACAGGCCCTTGGAAAAGGCCCAAAAATGCAAGAACAGCCTTTTGGAAAGGGCCTGAAAGTCAGGGATGGGCTGGATTTCGTTCTCCACATGCTTCAGGACCTGAGGGCGCTTCTCCCTCCATCCTGGGTGGGACGCTCTGTTTTCATGGCCATGTCCCTCTGATGGAGGCCTCAATCCCAAAGTAACGAGGGAGCAGGGATCGCCACCCTGGCACAGGGCTTTCCCTTCCAGTTGCTTTTCCTTTTTTCAGTATTTTCATTGGAGAATGATCTGACCTTGCTGGGTTCTTGCTGCACCACAGACTTAGGGACGGGAGGGAAGAACGGGCTCTGGGATGGATCTCTGAGGATTTTAGGATTGAAGCACTGAAATGGGGTTTGTGGCTCGTGAGCTGTGGTTGTGGGGGAAGCCGCCCAGGTTTGGCGGTGTTTTGGCTCACGTGCAGCACAACTCCATAAATCAGAGCCAAACCCCGGTGAGGTCATGGGGGCTCTGTGCTGTTCTTGTGGTCTGTGCATCAAAATGAGTCAGCTTTTGGAGTTCTGGAAACAATTGCAGGGCCCTCCAGCTCTTCAGTGATGGAGGGGAGCTGCCTTTTAGCCTTCAGAACACGGGCAACATAACACGGAATTAGTGTGTTCATGGATGTGTCATTGTAGAGGAGGCAAAAAGTCCTCATGTGCTGATTTGGGATTCTTTTTWAAACACTTACAGGGCGTTTCTGGGTTGGAGAATGTCTCCTCGCACCCCAAACAGCCCCTCACACCCCAAAGCTTATCCCCCCCAGGAACTGGGCAATCTGTGTCCTGCAGCAGGTGAGCACAGTAGAGCTGTTCACCGTGAGCTTTATCCAAGAGCGTTAATCCGCGCCCTAAGCCCTGCCAGCGGAGCGCCTGGAAGATAAGGAGCCGTGGAATACCGGCTGGGCAGCTGCTGGAAGGGGCAGCATGTGCCAGGGGGTGCTGGAAGCGCTGGGTAGGGATGAGGAGGGGGATTTGGGATGGGGCAGGGGACAGGTGGTGAATTCCAGACGGGCACCAGCCATGGAGGTGAGGGAGGAGCTGCAGGAGCAGCCACGGATGCGGCGCCCAGCATCGCCCGCAGCTGTACCCGGGAAGAGACAGACGAGGGGCCCTCCCCCGCCCCGGAGCACATCCCCGCGGGACCGAGCGCCTGCGAATCCCCCGGGGCGASGAGGCTCCCGCGGGAATCCCCCGGGGTTCCTCCTCGGGAAGCTCCAGCGGGGATGCCCCTCGGGGACGCCGCCGCAGCCCGGCCCCGCTCCCCCGTTCCCCGCCGGTCCCRTCCCCGCCCGGAGCATCCCCTCCGCGCTGTGCAGAGCCCCCARCCCGCGGGGAAGGAAGGACGAGCCCCGTCCGGCTGCGGCTTCCTCCGCAAGCCCTGCCTCGGTGCACGGTGCCCGCCCCCGGCCCTCCCCCGCTCTCCCCGCTCCGAGCACCCCGAGCCGGCCGGGCCGAGCCGAGCAGCGCCGCGCCGCCTCCGGGGGAGCCCCGCAAGCGCAACAGTTGCCCCCAAACCGCGGCGGCCGCGGCCGGGGGGAGCCCCTGGGGGATCCCTGGGCACCGGGAGGAGCCGGCTCGGGGGGGCCGCGCCGAGAAGCCGCCGCCGCTTCGCCGAAGCAGCGCCGCTCGCAGCGCCCGGAGCCGCCCGGAGCCGCCCGGATCCGGCGCTTCTGCCGCTGCCGGCGATGGAGCGGAGCGCAGGGGCCGAGCCGCGGCTCCTCCCGGCCGGGCGCAGCCGCCCTGCCCTCCGCCTGCGGGAGCGGAGCCACCCCGGAGCCGGGCAGCGCCCGCCCTGCTGAGCCCCCCGGCCCCATCCCGCACCCCCCGAACCGCCCGGGCATCCTCGGAACCCCCCTTCGGCCAACCCTTTGTGCATCCCCCGAACCCCTTTGTGCATCCCCCACCCCTTTGTGCGCTCCCGGCCCTTCGCGCGTCCCCTCCGCCCTCCCGGCTCCCCCCGTGTCCCTCCCCCGTGTCCCCCGGAGCCGCCACCCCCCTCGCATGCGGCCCCCGGGCTGCGGGAGCCGCTGGCCATGGGCACGAAGCAGACCAAGGGCTGCCAGCCGGGCAGCGCCGGCGGGAGCCCCCCGGGCCACCACCGCAAGAAGGCGCCCCCCAGGGAAAGGGGGGATTTYCTCGCTTCCCTGGTGGTGAAGTCCGGCGAGAAGTTCGGCAAGGGCGGCGGCGGCAGCCTGCCCCCTTACCACCGGCGGATCTGCATGATCCAGGACATGCTGCTGCTGGTCAAGCAGGGCAGGCAGGAGGAGGCCACCGAGCTGCTGAAGAACCTGCGGCAGGTGAGGATGGGCGGGTTTCTGCGGGGGGAGCGGGGCTGCTGTGGGGAAGACACGGGGTGGGAGCAACCCCATCGTGCTTTCGAAAGCCCGGTGCAAACAGGGCTCCKCTTTTGCGGGTCTGGCTTTCGGGGCGGAATTTTGGGGAAGTGGCCGAGGAGCTGCAGGGTGGTCATGGTGTCAGAAAATACCCCCGGGGAGGYGCTTTGAATTGTCTGCAGCGAGCAAACCCTGCCGGCTGCATTTTTCCTCCTTCCCTCCCCTGCTAGCTCTGGGATTTGCAGCCTACTCAAGGTGGTTCCCACTCAACTTTCCCAAAAGTTCTGTGTTTCGAGCGGCTCTGAGAAAGCGCCGAGGCGATTCGAGCTGGCAGCTTTTGAGGAGCAGYTCTTTTCTTTTCCTGGCTCAGAAATACCTAGAATTGGCAGCGTCGCTTTTTTATCTCCTTTTTCATGCCACAATAGCCTGGTGGAGTTTTGCTGGTGTTGGCCGGGGYTGGGAGAAACGAGACGTTCTGTGGGAGCAGGGAATCATTTGTAGGGAGCCTGAGACCTTTCGCCTTGAAAAKTCTGTTCGAGCTGGGGAGCAACAGCACGGAAAGTTGCTGTGAGCAAACAGAAAGGCAAAATTAGCATTTAATCTTTCCTGCTGATAGGTGGTGATAAAAACACCCGAGCGCCGGGCATTTTCAAGGCTCTGTGGTTTGAAGAGCGGCGAGTTTGCCATGCGAACCTAAAGGAAATCCCTCTCCCAGCTCGGGTTTTCTCCCTGCGCGGCCCTCAGTTGGTGTAACCAGTTCTGCCACCTGATGAAAAGTTGTTCAGGTCCCTGCTGGGCATCGGGAGCTGCTTCCTTGCCCCGTGGTGGGTCCGTAGAAAGCGCAGCTGGTCGAGTCTGATGGTTTTCTTTTGAGATTTTGTGTTTGGGGTTGGCTTTTAGCAGTTTTTCCCCCCATTTTCTGGTCCAGGTGACTTTTTATGTGTTSTTTGGGGCATGTCCCTGGTCCATTCAGCCCCATTCCCATTTATCCCTCTTCCCAGCTGTTTTATGGGGTTTAGGGCTATCTTTGGAGCAGCCCAGCTGAGAAATCCGAACACTTTCATAYGATTTGTGGATTTTTTATGGAAAACTCTCATCGCTTTCAACCTTGGGATAATTTTTTTTTTTTTTCTGAGTTGAATGTGCTGCATTCCTGGCASTTGGGGGTACAATTCCTTGGAACAATGCCCTCTCCATTTGGCATCTGTGTGGCCACGGAGGTTGAGCTGGGCACAGAATCAGCGCCCAAATGTCGCACCCTGTCACCCACGCCGGGGCTTTATCGCTGCCGCAGCCCATTGGARCCGGCAGAAGGGCGGGTGCTAATTTTAGAGGGTGTTTATCTCCAACACCTCCCCAAAAAATAAATCCCGAGTCCTGCGAAGTGCCACAGATCACTCTCAAGTTTCTCCCTGGCTCGGGACTGGTTTTTCTCAGCCGTGTTCAGGTCYGTCCTCACCCTCTGGCGGGGCAGTGAGGGAGCCGGGATGTGTCCCTGTGGACGCCCTAATGACAAATCCAACCATGGGGGAACCCTGGAGACAGGGGAAAAAAAAACCTAAAAATTGATCTTAAACTGCTAGGGGAAGCGAGGAACCTGTTAGAGTCAGACACATCTCTGTCAGGGAGTGTCTCTGAAGAGCCTGCTCTGATAAATTTTATCTCAGAGTGTCAAAATCGAGAACACTTTGTCCCAGATACCATAATAGGCTCCAGGCAGGTTTTTAATGAGGTGAAATTATTCCCTGCCTCCAGGGAGGGAATGTGGGATGCCCCACTGAACAATTCCTGGCTGCGGGGTGGTTTTCCAGCAGCTGGATTTTGGGGAGGGGATGTTTGAGGGGGGCGTTGGTGSGTCCAAGGGTTTGTTCCCACTCCGGTGGGAGCCTCCCAGAGAGGAGCTCTCAGAGTGTCTCAGCCTGGAAGCGAGGATTTGGGGGGAAGAATGATCTTCCTGCTGTGGGAAGAGGTGGATGGATGAGCCTGGTGGGGCAGAGACTTCTCACTGAGCCATTTTTAGGGTGGCTGTTCCCACRTGCGATGTTGCTGCTGTAAAACTGGGGAATTTCTGGAAAAACCAGCGTTTTCCAGCAAACCCAGTGACCTGGTGCCCAGCTTGCCGTGGAGATTTTTTTAAATCCCAGGCATTGAGGTCACTGGGAGCCTTTCCAGTGACTTCAGCAGGCTTTGAAGCCGGCCCAGCGTGCGAGTGAGGGGCGGTGACAGCATCCCTGCCTTTGGAGGGGCTCCATGGTTTTTTTGGAGCAGGATGGACAGGACTGAAAGGCTCCGGCTTCTCGGCTTTCCACACCACAACATCCTGCCCTACCCACCCCCAAAAGTCTGGGGGCTCCCACAAAAGCTGTGGGTGACAATCAGGGCAGGGCTGCAATCCCGCATTTGGAACCTGCTGGAGCAGCTCCTGCGCTTCCAGCTCCATTACTGGCAGCAATTTCCACCCAGTTTATCCCTCCTGCCTCTGAGCTGCGAGCAATGCTGTTTCCTTTACAGGCTCCTGTAGGATTCATTTGTGTTTCTGGGAACACCCAGAGGGTGCCAACTGTAAAATACTGARATACAAAGTGACATTTTTTTGTGTGTGGTTTTTGTTTTGTTTTGATTTTTTTTTGTTTGTTTGGGTTTTTTTGTTTGTTTTTGTTTAAAAAAATAAAAAGCGTGACCAGCAGACAGACTTTGCTCCCCCGGAGAGGTCAGCAGCAGTCTCTGGTGTGGTGGCAATCCGATCCCACTGCCCTGCCCTCAAAATAACTCCTGTTATTCTGATGCAGGAGCTGCCAGCGGCCATTCCAGAGGGTTTGTGCTCCTCTGGCACAACCAGGCTAATTCGACATCGAGCTCCCGAGACACTGATCCTCATTTCTTTTTCCTAAGCCTGGAGCCCAAACCCCACACTGTGAAATTAAAATCYCCCCAAATCCAAAGCACTTCCTGCCGCTCTCCTTGGCTGAGGTGTTTYCCCCTGAGCCACCCTCTGCAGGGAGCACGCTTTGGGCATTAAATGCATTGGAAATGCACAGAAACAATTCGCATTTKATCGAGGCCAGGGTTGGGGGCTGCCWCAGGCTTGCTGGTCACCTGGAGGGAGCTGCCAGCTTCTCATGGAAGCAATTCCTGCACAGAAAAAATCAGAATTCATCTGCTGTGAAGTGACTGCCTAGCTCCTCCAACGAGGAGCTGCTGCAGGGAGAGGCTGAAAAATGGATTAATTCAGGGTGTCCAGCACTTGGGACCACTCCCAGACCTTTCACCCTATCCACGCCAGCTCCAGGTGGGAGAATTCCACTCTTCCCAGCACCACCAGTTGCAGATGAGGATGGGTTTTACTGTTACAGAGTGCGGTGCCTTTATTTTTATTTCACTCTATTTTTTTTCTTTCTCCTCCGTGCTGTCGAGTTCCAGCGGTTCGGGCAGCCAGGCGCTGTCAGCGTATTAAATTCTGGGAGTGTCTCTCCTGCCGGGGAGAGGATTTGTAAAACAAAGCGTGTTTTCCTCCTCCCCCGCTGCCAAAAAGGATCGCTTTTCCCCAGCGGAACGGGGAAACGCTTCCCAGCGCATTACGTGGCGCTCCTGGAATTCGCCATTGGTTATGGCTCGACGTGGAGCTTTGGCTGGGGCTGCTGCTGCTCCTCCAGGGGCTGGGGGAGAGGGGAGGAGGAGGAACCYGGTGGATTTGAGCATCGTTCTGCTGGGGCAGGTGAACAGGGCTGCGGAAGAAACGGGGGTGGGGGAAAAGGAAGGAAAATTTTGGAATGAATCCCTGGACGGAAGGCAAATGGCGAGGTCTGAGGTGGGGCAGAACTGGAAAGGTGGATGGGGYGTGAAGGGCAGGGGAGAGGGGTCAGGGCCCCAGATAGGCACAGACACCCTACAAATCCCACAGTGAATCCCATCTGCAGAAAGGGGCTGGAAGCAAAGGTGCCCAGTGCCGTGGCAGCTTCATCCTGGCTGTATCCACTGGGGTTAATCCCACAAACATCYCCTGCTCTGGGGACAGCTGTCCCCTTGCCCCATCCCAAGCCAAGCCCTGGAATTCCAAACCAGCGGCTGTGGGAAACAGGACACGGAGTGAGGATTGGTGATTAAATATCCGTGGATTGGTGATTAAATACCCATGGATTGGTGATTAAATACCCATGGATTGGTGATTATTGCCCAATGGATCGGTGATGAAATACCCATGGACTGGCCATTAAATGCCCATGGATTGATGATTAGATATCCATGGATTGGTAATTAAATGCCCATGGATTGATGATTATTGCCCAATGGATCGGTGATGAAATACCCATGGACTGGCCATTAAATGCCCATGGATTGGCAATTAATTGTCCATGAATTTATGATTATTTCCCAGGGATCAGTTATTAAATGCCCATGGATAGGTTATTAAATACCCATGGATTGGTGGTTAAATGCCCGTGGATTGATGATTAAATGCCTTGTGCTTCTGAGGAGGGCCTGGGGATAGGGTGGCATGGGGTGTTTTGTTAATTAATGACAAATATCCTCGTTGGAAGAGGGGGAATTGAAACTCCYGCTTGACAAGTGGGAATTGTAAAACACAGGAAAAAAATTAAAAATTTTTGAGGCTGGTGTGACTTCCTYCTTGGGACAGCAGGGCAGAGGCTGCGGGAGAAAATTAAAAATACTCATGGCTGGACAGTGCCACACTCTGTGCCTCCAGCCATGGAGCACCATTCCTGTGGAGCAGCAATCCCATGGAACGCCTGGAATGCTGCAGGAACTCATCCCTGGTGTTTGCCCCACAAATTCCTGCTCCCTTCTCCTGGGCTGACAGCCCACAGGTGACTGGGGCCGGGGCTTTGGGCTMCTCCAGCCTGTGATGGTGACAGGAGGGCAGGGATGAGCAATTTGGCAGGATTGGGGTTGGTTTTTCTCCACTGGAAGCTCCTGGAGTGGAGGGAGGGACCCRCTGTGGCACC